TTGTTAATCTGGAAAAACCCCCCTGTGTACCCCCCTGCCTGGGTGTAGCCACCAGCGAGCTCTAAAAAGTGGCCAAGTTGCCGTGATGCCCTATTAAATTAGTAAGCACACTCGACTTGAGCGGGAACACAGCTGAAACGGATGTCCTGGCATACGCAACTTTTTCAATTTCCTGTGCCACATGTGGGGGTGTGTGAGTGACGTGTGATAGTACACCGTTTTGAGTAGCATTTAGTAACCGCCGCGTTGGTGAGCTTATCGCTGACACTGCCAAGCCCCTTCGATTAGCTTTGCTCCTATATCCTGCGTGCTGCCTTGAGGTACAGTTGCTGGCCAACACACCTGAACCGGACTGCCTGGCTTATTCTGTCCCGCTTTTGGCTTAACTAAATCAAAAACCCCCGAGCTATTCAGCTGGCAGTTAGCGAATATACTCGCCTTCCCAAGGAAATGCCGGACATGCAGCTCCGCGCCCGATTTTCAGGTAGAAGCCACCTTGCTTACACATTTTTTCTCATTTATTTCTGGTAATTTACTTTGATTCATCGATTTTGTAATATATCTACGTGGCGTGGAGGCCAACGGCGAGCCAATGAAACAGGATTTTATTACACTAACTTGGGGATACTATAACATTTTTATGATGTAAGCTTTGTACACGGGTGATGTGTGTCAGATGTTAAAATGGAGTTAAAGTTTCGACCTTAAACGGAGTTTTTCTTCTTACAATACTTTATAAAAGGATTTTTAGCACTTTCAAATGTACAAAAACAAACATTACTCTTCAAATTAGACTTTGGCCTTGCAATATATAATTTCTTGGTTGTATTTTTACTTTCCTCAGACCATATATCAAATCGTTGGCTTGTACATAGTATACTCCACATACATTTAGTGTGTCAAAATCTGATTGAGTTATTGAGCAAAAGTTTCATAGAGCATCCTTTTGATTGCTGTTCCCCGCAGTTGTAGCATACTCCATGCTACATTATTGCCCGCCCAATCATAATGATAATCGTATACTTTTATGCGACTGATAAAAAGCAAAAACTGGATTAGGTTTATAGAATTGACTCACCCATGAAAGGCTTTAATACGATTTGTAGATATTAATCATACGCCATGATGCACTAAGCAGAAGCAGTGCTAAGACCAATAAACGGGATTTATATTAATAGCCGTAACTGGGCGAGAAAGAAACTTATGAAGCTCATTTGACAGGAGGACAGGACATTCTCTCCAAGTCAGGCAATAAAAACGAATTTCATTAAATTAGCAGGGAGCTGTTCAAGGACACGACACTTATTGGATGGCCGAATCAATGACCAAATAAGAAAAGCAAGTACCTATCGAAAACCAGAAAGGAAAGCTAACCTCGGGCGTAGCCGAAGTTGATATACACTTGCAGTTAAAACCGGATATATACCGAAAAAATTGGAAATAGTTGGCCGATCTCTATGAGAATATCATAATATAACCAATTTATTAGAATACAAAATATATCCGATCGTTCCGATCGATATACTCGGCCGATCGTTATGAACTTTGGTTGGCCGGATCAACTGACGAAAAATAGAACGCCAAAAGTAGCATTCATATAAAATCCAAGTCGATATTTTCAAGTCGATAGCTTTAAAACTGGGAGACTAGTTTGGAGACTAACTTAGGAGGTAATCCTGTTCAAGGATATACTGTTCAAGTAGAGTTGGATATGTCTTCACTGCGTTGCATACTTTTGACCAAAATTATAACACCCTCTGCAAGTGTATACAAACAATCTATGTACACAGCAGTATCTCCTTTCCCAGAGGGCAATTCATTGACAATTTGGCAGGGTGAAATTCGAAGTTTCTGGCACCTGATTGGGGCCGAGACATGTTTTGGGAGGTCCTGGGGCGGTTTTATCTCCCCAACTCTCTTCCTAACCGGGCCTGGCTTTATTGTTTGCAATTTGTTTTTAGCTGCCCCAGAACTTTGTTTTTATGGCTCAACCTGAGGCTGGGATTTCCAGCACGCCCTTTTTTCTCGCCACTGGTGAGGCGCCCTAAAAATATTCTGAGACGTGTGGTCCTATTAATAGCTCGGCGTGTATATGTTGCTGGTCCATAACACTCGGTGACAGTAACTAAAGACGTTTACCATAACCAGAAATCGTTGATGCCATGTATTGACATTTAAGCTGCCGCAAATTGCTTTTCTGTGGTGCCTCCGCCTTCGTTCCTGCCACCTTGGAAGCCAGGACATGTAAGGACCTCTTTGGAAAGTCCTTTCTTTTTTCGCTTTCTGGGCATTCTTCTTCAACTTATCAAGAGAATTTGCATAACGAAAAGTGAAATGTTCAAATTATAACAAATTGAATTTTCTCCAAAGCGAGGCAAACAAAAAATGTGGAAATGCCAAACCGGGAGAAGGTTTTTATTGACATATGGGCTAACAAGGATAACAGAAATACAGTATATGAAAGGTGCCTCAAAGGGATTTCCTCAAAATCATTTGTGGGTTTTTTTTTAGTAAGTTTTGGTTAAATTATTGAAAAACTATTTATTTTATGCACCATAGTCGGCAATAAAGTTTTAATTTTAAACAATTCCTCGGTTCAACGATTTATCAATGGCGTGTTGTCTGGAGACGAACCAGTGCCAATCGAATGCACTCCGCATCCGTGTATCCCAGTGCCCTTGTAGTCCAATCAGTCAACCGACTACGTGTTCAGTTCAACATGTTGGCATCGAATTCGCGCCACATTGTGTTGTATTTTGATCGGCGAATGCCATTTCTTTTCCGTCCATTCGACAGCTTTAACTTCCCAGCTTTCCTGCTCTGGTATTTTTATCCTGCGTATTTTTTGTATTTATGCGTTGATGTTTTACGTGCCAGAAATTCCAAAAAAGAGAGCCTTTGCCCCTGCTATGTGTATACTTTTCCGTATGTGCCAGGATGGTACGTGTAAAGTGTATATTGTCCACCGGAGAGACGGAAGAAAAAACAGCAACAGTAACCCATTGGTAACTCGGTTAGAGATTCTGTGGGCCAAAAAAAACAGGAAATATGAGTGTGTATGGTATGACCCTGGAAAAGGGTTTGAATCTCCCGTTCTGGCCCTCACCTCAGTTGGAAAATGAATTTATGCGGTTTTTGTGTTTCTCGCTCAGAGTTTTTGGGTCCAGGCTACAGCTATATTTGTATTCGATTTCATTCGTCAAATGCAGAAAATGAATTTAGTGTTTTGTGGCTTCGTCGTCCTTTTTTTCGTTTTCACTACTCATTTCCCGTTTCCGTTTTCTCTTACTCGTTTTCTGTATTATTAAAGCATGGCAAAATATTGACGCAACCATTAACAAAAGCTTTTAGTGCAAATACAGCTGGCAGTGGCATATAGCCACTGGCCATGGTATGGTCGAAAAGGCAGACAGGCCTGGCTGGCTGGCAGGACGCAAAGGACAAACGTCACTTTGACAGTTCTGTCGTTTGGAGCGTAGCTTCGGTTGGCACACTGCGTTGCACATTTCCATTTGCATTGTTGCTTCATTCTTTTCCACCCAACCCACCTCCTTATTCTTTTCCAGCTCCCTATACATCTTTACACTTGAAAAGAATTTGGAACGTTTGTAAAGTGTAGCTTCGGTTAATGGCTATTAAAGTAGGTAATTCGAATGTTTTCTCTTTCTATAAAATGATTGTCTTTTTATTAAAAATTGCTTCTGAAACATAAGCTCTTTTATTTTCCGTGTAGAGTGGCTACCAGCAGCTTGGACTATCTGCTTTCCTGCAGGTTGTCCTTTGGTCCCTTTTCTGCTGTTTCACATTTCTTTGGCATGTGCAATTGCCTGGTCCAACTGCAGCAACAGCAACAAAGCAACATACAACATTGTTGACGTGCATTTGTGTTTTGTGTCATGCAGACTTTGACTGTGGCTTTGATTTGACTTTCAGTTGCCAATTCAAAAATGGTTGCCGCCAAGGGCAAAACTCTGACAGCGTCAGTAATAGAAAGTGATTAGGAAATTTCAAGGATATTCTGTGGGCAGGTATGCTACCTGGTGCTTGATTTGATATTGAAAGGAAAATTAATTAACAATTGTATATTGACTTTAAGGACTTCACTATTTTGGTCTTGCCATTTAGACAAGAAACATTATGAGCTGGTTAAAATGGATTTAATCCGACAACTAGGTGCTGAATATGTCTGTCCATTTAATTAGAAATTTCATTTTGAAATGAAAATGATTTTATTTTCTAGTCTACTGGTATCGTTTTATAGATGAAAGCCAAATGGCATTTCATAAATCCCTATGGTGTGAATATTCTATAGACATTCCAGCAATTCCGCCAGTCAATGGCTAATCATCCAATCTCGGAAATTCCAATCTCCTAGAAGCAATCAAACATGGATTACCATGAAAAGGACCACTCCCCGTCTAACAATCTCAAAAAATGCCGGCAAACACAATTAATGGGATAAAAAGCGAACTCTAACGGCGCACTCTAATTTACTTTATTTTTGGACATTCAACCTAAGTGCGTGGAATCGCCAAACGGAAACGGATATTCATGCAACCAAAACGGAAATGTTACGCCGACGACAGAAGTACATAGAAGTAGAGAGTTGGGAAAAGAAGAAGAGGGGCGGAAAAGGACGAAAATAACACCAACGAAAACGGATCCACAGTCGACCCTTGACTGCGTCGTGTCGAGCGGAGCATTTCCAGCATTAAGTTTATGTACATGTCATTGGGGGCGTATACGTAGCGTGCCCAAGGGTCCACGGTATTTTTGGTCCCATAAACTGTTGCGAATTCTTTGGTTTTATTCTTTTACTTTTTTTTGTAGGGATACCTGTTTTCTTGGGCGAAATTTGATGGCATTGCTTAAAAATAAATTTTCTGTAGATGGCATGCGCCTTAAATCCACACAAATTAAGCCCTAAATTAGAAAGCCATCACTCGAAGTAATTGCCGAGCCGATTTTTATGCTTTATATCTTGGTTTTTATCTTTGCAGTCGCAGCATTAGAGAACGTGCCAGGCATGCCAACAGCCAAAATGAGCATGATGTAGTAGACAAGGACTCTTCCAGCCAGTCAGCCACCTAACCAGTTAGCAAGGACATTTTGCCTCTTGTGTTGATGATGCGACATTGACATCGACCTGTATGTGTTGACGGTATGTGTTTAAAATTTCGTTTTTATTTCCCCTAACAATTTTATGTTTATTTCTCCCTTTTTTTTAAATTCATGAAACTTTAATTTAAATTATGCATAATGTGGAAGGTGTTCTAGGGACAATGTTCATTAAACACCCACAGAAACGTGCTGGTTTTTTTGTTGGTTATTTAATTTTAAATTCAGGGAAAGGACTTTGGGTAACGGAGTCGTGTGATGTGTGTGGGAGGGTATTTTTTGGGGTGGCTGTGACACCAATTATGCATAATTTCCATGACAGATTCAGGGCCAGAAACGGACAAACAACAATAATAACTTTATTAATCATGCTAACGTTCGCCTAGCCAGATAATAAACAGTAGACTTAGCGTTATTATAATGATTGCTGGCAAGTGGACGAGCAAATGTAGGAAGTCCACAGAAATCATTAATGGATGAAAAATTAATTGCTTTGAGGATTCAGGAAATATAGATTATCGCATGTTGATTCCGGCATAATAGCATTGCTGTTTCTAATTTACGTATATATTGCTTCAATGCTTGTTGAAATGAAAATCCTATGAAAGCAGAAGGGTTTTTCCAAAACATTAGCCAGCTGACAAGTAGTTTTGGATTCACTTTTAAATATAGTGTATAAGAATTCGCTTCCACACTTACTTTATATGGTGAATAGGAAAAATTCCATTTCTCATTGTTTTTTCTTCGCTCCGGCCATTTTTATCTAGCCCAGTCATTAAAATAACACTAAAGTTTTTTGGGTTCTTTGGGCTTTGGTCTTTTGTATATTATTATAGCCCAGGGCCACGCCCCCAAACAAGCCCAACATGCACCTAAGAACGCCCTGAAGTGGTACATCATCTCTCATCCAGCCCAGAATGATAATTTTTTTTTCTTGGTTTTGTTATCCTTCTTGGCTTGACCACAGTTTTAATGCCTTTTTCATTGTCTTTTCATCGGCGAAGTAGTGGTCTCATGTCTCACTGGTCACGCCCTTGGCGTCTAGGTTTCAGCTGGCAACATCCTGGCCCTTTGCATATACATTTGTAAAGCTTACCAGGAAGAGGAGCAGGAGGAAGTGGGCTTGGGCAAATTGACGTCATGTCATCAATCAATCCTGCTGCAGAGCTTCCAGGCCGCACGCCAACGCATCATCACTGTTTTTTCCTTCTTGTTTTTTCTGCGCTCTTTTCACTTTTTATTTTCCATTCATGAACTGTGAAAATTTTTCTTTTACCAGCGACTTAAGTCCAAGTTTTGTTGGCCAATTTCAATTTTATATACTCACTTTTTTGTTCACTTGGGAAATTTTCATCATGCAATAAGGAAGAGAAAGGCTTTCAACTGCAAGCCTGCCACTGCGGTTTGATTTATGATTTTTTAATGAGCTCACGCTGTTCCGTTCTGCGTATTCTTACAGTCTATTGTCTTATCAAAGGTTTGCAGGAGACTATCCATTTCTTGCTCCTTTCTGTGTTCAAGGCCATTGGATTGACCTTTGCCCCGGACATCATAAACATTTAAAGTACGTAGCAAATAGCAAATGGCTTCGGGTTGCTCTCAAATTTTAATTGCGTCTCAGGGCTTTCTATTTTATTTTATTGTATTTTGTATGTGACCGGTAGGATCTGTCGCTACTAATTTTTGGAAGAAGAAAAGGGGTACGGTATCCCTAAAATTGGAGGGTGTGTTGTGCTGTTTTATTGCTTGGTTATTTTAATTAAAAACTTTGCTCAGCCGGCAGCAGCAATTGCCTGGCAGCCTCCAAGTTTTCTGCACATTTTGCCAGCCTCGAGCCGTGAGCTCCAAAACAGCAAAACAAAGCTGTCGGGACAAGAGCTACTTTGTTGGAGTATCTTCTTTGTCTTGGCCTTGTTGGAGGCCCCCGACAAGCTGCTGGGCTTTCTAAGCGACTTTTGCTATTTTTACGCCGCTAAGCCGCCATTAAAGCCATATGCAAAATACGACCGTGTTAAGATGTGCCAATGTCTGTGGGCTGCGGGCTGGCGTGTATCCGCCTTGGGTCCTTTTTATACCCTTGCAGAGGGTATTATAATTTTGGTCAAAAGTGTGCAACGCAGTGAAGGAGACATCTCCGACCCTATAAAGTATATATATTCTTGATCAGGATCACCTCCTGAGTTGATATGAGCATGTCCGTCTGTCCGTCTGTCCGTCTGTCCGTCTGTCTGTCTGTTTCTACGCGAACTAGTCTCTCAGTTTTAAAGCTATCGACTTGAAACTTTGCACACACCCTTCTTTCCTTTGCACGCAGTATATAAGTCGGAACGGCCCGGATCGGCCGACTATATCTTATAGCTGCCATATAACTGATTGATCGGAAATGGTATAACTTTGGTGTTTTTAGAGTTAGAGAGTTCAAATTTGACATGAGAGCTATATTTGGCAAAATAATACGACATGCCAAATTTCATAAGGATCGGCCGACTATATCCTATAGCTGCCATATAACTGAACGATCGGAAATGACCCAACTTTCGTGTTTTTGAAGATAGAAAGCTGGAACTTAGTACAGATTTAATTCTTGGTCAGTTGATCCAACCTACCAAATTTCATTAGGATCGGCCGACTATATCCCATAGCTGCCATATAACTGAACGATCGGAAATGGTATTTGGTAGAAATATCAACTTTCGTATTTTTGAAGATAGAAGTTTGGGACTTTTTTTAGATTTTGTATTGTAATAAATTAGATTATATATTCCTATTCCCATAAGGATCGGCCAACTATATCCGATGTTTGCGATATATATCCGGTTTTAACTGCAAGGGTATATAAACTTCGGCTCCGCCCGAAGTTAGCTTTCCTTTCTTGTTTATATTTTTTTTTGTTTATTTGCTCACTGCTCTTATGTCACCTTGTTGATGGTCTGGAAAAAAACAAAAGCTCCAAACGATGGTCCTAATCCCGCTTAACGTTTTGTTGACATCGCTCTGGCAACCGAACATCAGCCATCACCCGGCATTTCCTCACATAAAATACATGGCCCATGTAACATATAAAACAAATTTATGTATGTATGTATGTTCCCCTAAAAAAAAGAAACAAAAAAAATAAATAAAAAATAAAATTTTCTTTAAAAAAGAAATAATTAAACTTTAGAGCCTAGTTTGTTAAACAAGGTAGAACCTTTCACACACCTGACCTTAAAACAACTCAGCATTCTGCACCTTTGAGCGCCACTGGCCCCAACAAATTTTAATTACCGAGCATTTAAGCAAACAAAATCTTGAATATCCAACACAAAAATTCATTTTCATTGCCATCGCTACATACATGCACATTGCGCATACGCCGTATGCGCCGAAGTCCGTAAATAAGCTGCGGCGCCCTTAATTGCGGACTTTGTGGAGCGAGCGGGGGGAAGGGGAGAATGGCGTTGGTGGATGGAGGGGGTCAGGTGGGGAGAATGGCATTGGCCAAAACGCAATGAAAGCAAACAATAAACTCGTCCGGCATAAAGGGCACTGGACAATGGGACATCCCAGAAACGTAAAACGAAGCCAGAAAAAAGAATACACAAATAGAAAACAGAAGCAAAAAAGCAATTTTTATGTTGGTCTCTTGGTAACCCAGTAATATGAACTTAAAGTCAAACGAGTTGGAAACATTGAACGTCTGGCCCGCTAACCATAACCCATCCATCCATCTAGGCATCCTGTCTGCCAAACTTGCTCCTTCCCCCATCCCCACCCGAGGGGTACGTGCTGTGCATTGAGCCGTTTAAGATTTACTTGTAATTTGCAACAATGTTGAACGCTCCACCAAGATGCTGCAGCGTCCTTTCGCCTCTCTTTGTTGCTTGTTGTTTGACATGTCAAAACCAAACAAAGCGCCGCTAGACACACACCCGTACAGTCCAGAGAGGGGCAGGGACTTGGGGAACAACCACCCCCATTAGCACTCCCCGTGGCTTTGATTGGCGTCAAAAAACGCATCAAACGACGGCAAGGTGACTTTCAAGTTCAGCGCACGTTGGAACCGAGAGTGAGAGAGTCTTTTAAAAGGAGTAAAAGGCACAAAGAAATTCGCAGAATTTTGTGTATTGTCTAAAAGGGATAAAAATACCTCAAGAAAGGCTTAAAATATATATTCTTAAAATATTCTCAAAGCAAATTAAATCCTTACATTGCTAAATCAAAGCCAAAACTGGCCAAGATATCCGGCCAGAAATGTTCGGCATTAAGGCCATCCATGCATTAATTAAGACCATAAAGGGTTTATTGAAAGTTTTTACCAAGTCCCAAGTACAGAGAATAATTCGGGCATCAATTGTTGGAATGGGGCTGGAATGTCTGGTATTTGTAATTAAGCGCCCCAAAGCCTATGTGGCAAGGACTCTTCCAACTGTTGCAATGTCAAAGGCAACAATTAAACGTTGACTCTTGTCTCGGCGGAAATATCTCACCCTCTTGGTGTGGTTTTTGGCCAGGCTCTCACAATTAGGCGAAATAGAATACTCACACTCATCCAACACACACACACAAACGTACGAACAAGGACATTAATTATGCATGCGTATGTGTGTGTGTGACACGCCTCCAATTTCCTGTGCGACATTCCTCATTTGCCGAAAACATTTTTGTGCCACCGCAAATAAACGCGTATAGTTGTGCTCTGTCGAGGCATTCGATCCAGTGTCCTTTGGCCTGATTCGAGAGCTTTTTGAAGAACTGGTCTTTTTGGTAATTAGGCAGCCTGGTTACGCCTCGTATACGCAATACTCGTATGTGTAATTTAATAGTTTTAATTGGATATCCTTCCCCAGGTCCTCCTTCCCCAGGGATCCGAAGATTACACACTCTCTCATAGCGAGGGCTTATGGAAATTTTTCGAGTGATATTTAATTAGAAAACACCTCTTTTGCTTGGAAAACTTTTTGAACAAGTCTGTCGAGTCGAGTCTGGCGTCTTGTGTTGATTTTCGCCTTTGGCAGGCTAATTAGTAGGATTTTCCCAAAAGGATAAATGCGAATTTCCTGCAGCCGCATTATGCACTGTTTCTGGCTTCTGGTGATTAATTGCCACAAATCCAGGCCAAAGTTAATTGAATTTTCTGTTGCATTGGTGTGGTATAAGGTATGGGGTATGGCGTGGTGTAGAGTGTGTGACATCCTTGCTTGTCCTTTAACAAATTAAGCAATTTACCAGACATCTGCACAGGCTTGTTGGCAGGTGACCGTCCCTTCCGACCCTCTTTGTAGAATTTATCAAAGACAACTCCCAGACTTCCCATTCGCAGGAGACTTTCAGTTCGGCACTTTTGCATGTCCTGGCCATATTACTCATGGCCCCTTGGCCCGTTGTTCGGTGGCTGTTTGTCCAGCATCTTGTGGTGTCCACACCACACAAAAGGACCCTCTCACTCTGGTTTATTGCATTTGGCACAGGAGCCGGCCATGCCCTTGCCCAGGCTACATGCTGACTACAAACTGCCGAAGCAAACAAAGGAGCGCTGAATGGAAAGTGTGAAAAGTGATGCATATGCTGCACTTTTGTGATTTATGAAAACGATTTTGCTAATACTGATGATGCGGAAAAACGAACAGAATCCTTGGGAGCCTGGTAAATGCAATTTGTTTTGCATCATTCCAGATAGTTGCCGATAATCAATGTCCATTTTTAACTAATTTTAAGCCATGTGACAATTAAGTTAATAAATTTCACCACAATTGGTACATTTTTTCGACCGTTTTTTTTCACGTAAAATTATAGTTTGTGGTGGTAGCTCGTGCATGAAGCAATTTATGTCCTGCCACGCCTCTCCGAGTGCGTATACATACAACCACCAACTGAAGGAAGTCATTTGAATGCCACACATTAATTTGGGTCGGTTTTCGTCTTTTGAGATGTCGAATCTGTATTGTTAACGAGTTTTTTCCTCTGGCCGATTTATTTTTTTGTTGTTCGTTTATTTAAAGCCACATATCATGGTGGGACAGGAAGGAAAATAAATTTTATGCCACAGCATGCGTTGCCGTTTGTTGTTGAGCAGCTGCTTTGTCATTTTCACGAACCACCTTCTAGCACCCCACGCCCCTGCTAAGCGGAATTTTCCCCTCTTTTTTAAGGGTACCCTCAGCACATTCATCTGCTATGTAGTATCCTGGCAAAAACTTGGCTTCTTCGAAGCAAAAAATTCACAAAAAACTGACGTAAAGCGACATAATAATTTTGCCTTTGAAATTGCCTTACAATTGCTTTTTTTGAATGCGTGTGTGCGAATTCCTTTTCCCTTGGGGATTTGGAGTTTTTTTCACGAACTGGAGCTTATATTTTTATCAGCGACTTTGTGATATTTTGTTGATAGCTACAAGAATACAGGGTATAAGAAGGATTATACGAGCACAAGAAAAAATAACTTATATATTTTTTTCTGAAATAAAAGTAAGCGTATTGCACATTCTTCTTCAAGTCCCAAAATTTATATTTTTCAATTTTCCACATTCTACTTGGTTTTCATACTTTTTCTTGTGCAACTCTCAACCGCAGAATTGTTTGCTAAGGTGGTGGCAGACGGAAGGTTTTTAAATTATGCGTGGTAACCAAATCAGCTCAGAAAATGTGTCCAAAATAGACTCAAATGTGGAGCTGGCGGGGGTTGGGCTGGGGTGACTGAATGACAGACATTTGCGTCGAGAAGACCCTCATTTCAGTTTATTTTATATGTGGGAGCGCAGAAAAAGATAATTACTTTTTGGCATCAGTGCGCGACATTATGACAGACCTATGGAATATTTTAGGGAAGTCACATTAGTGCAATCCACATTTAATTTAGTTTTTTTGGTCGAAACCCCCTCAGAGTTGTGACAAAAGTTTGCGGAACAAGGGTTGCTGTCAGTGAGGCCACATGCCGTATGAGCAATCATTAATAAAAACTAAATAGATTGAAGCAACAGCGAGTGGCCTTCCTTTATGGCATACATTAGTGGCACTAGCACTAGCACACACGTCCTTTGACTTGGCTAGTGACTAATTAATCTTAATTAAAGTCCAAGTTCCCGGCGTATTTATTCCCCATTCCCTGTGCGCAGCTGTTGCTTCTTCTACGGCTTCTGCTGACGCTCCGGACTGGATCCTTGCTCCTGGCTCCGTTTCCATTTCATTTAATTGCAATACATTTATCTGTCGCTTAATGGCAAATTTACGTGCACCATATAAATCAACTTTCGTGTGTCGGCTGATTTATTTATAGCATTTTTCGAAAACAAAACAAAGCAATAAGAAGAAACCGAATCAGCCCACATACATACAATGATGAGATAACAGAAATTGGTTTGCAAATTATTTTCAGAGTCCGCTAATTATGCCACCAACCAGCAGGCTAACACAGAAAAGCTAAATGAAAGAGGAGCGCGCTTTTGTGTAGAAGAGAGGGGTAGAATGAGCATGCATGAATGCGCTGATTACGCACAGAAACACAAGCACACGCACCTATAAACACAATCATCATCGTCCTTGCTGCCCAGGGAATAGCGAAATGCGAATTGTTTGGCAAACTGTAGGTTGCCAGTTGCTATGACCAGCCCCGTATTGCTTTTATGGCATTTAAAGCCACTCAGCACACAGCATAATACCTTTCATTGTCCCCGAGTGTGCTCAACTACAACAACAAGTGTATCCTGCTTGTTGGTAGCTGGGATAATGCCGGGAATTTAATAAGCTCCTTTTCAGCAGTAGAAACAGAAGCAAAAATCAAGCAAGCTTTTATTTTTTATTGAATTGGTTAAGATAGTAGTCCTGTTTAATTTCTCCCCGAGTCTCATGTATATTTAGCTTCTATTTCGTGATGGAAACTCCAATTTTCGTTTCTACATCATAGCCAAGAAAAGCTTCTTGTTAGTAATCCTATTGTTAAAATCGAAAGGAGAAACTATTATAAAGAATTCTTCGATCCGGCTACGTCGCCATGGGGATTTTGGTAATGAAAGAGCGGCCCGGATCGCTAAGTTGGCCACGTTTGAATGGCCCTAAAAAGGCAGGACGAGCTTTGCCATCGTCTGGGCGTTCAATTTGCAATTTGATTTTCGCCAACCGATTTGCTCATCCATAAATGAGTGGCCCCACAAAAAGCCCGGAAAGCTAATTAATTAACTTCTTTTCTGCTTGGGCCGGCGTTTATTTTTGGCCATATAATTATTGTTATTACTATTTACGGTAGCGCCATTTTGGCAGCTAATTTATGGCCCGGGACACCGCCCAAACAGGTACTGTGTTTTTAGTTCAGTTTGGTGTGTAGCATACATGTGGGTCAATTATTCACGCAGATCGATTAGCCATGAACCCCACTAGCTCCAGAAATGGCTCATTAAGCTCAGCTGATTAAACCTTAATTAGGTCAGAGCGTTGGGCGTATTTCAAAAGAAATTTAATTAGGAGCCCTGTCGACAAGTGAGCAAAAGGACTCTGCAATCAATCGATAGACTCAAAGAAAAAGCCCACATGCATTTCCGTCGTTCACCTTAAAATTTGCGGAGAAAGTATACTTTTTTTTAGGGATAGGCGATGGCAAGTCAACATAACTGCTGACGAGGTGAATCAATGACAAACACAAAGATTGAAAAGTCCTGGCACTGAATGCAAGTGCAACATAAATAAATTAAACATGCATTTTTTGTTAAAAATAAAATTATTGTATTAAATATTATTTTTATCGAATTATTTAAACAAAAGCAAAATTGTCTATTTTTGCCATTGGCTTAAGACTTGGTCGTAGTTCAATTGTTTAAACAAAAATATCTGGAAACCAAAAGTTTTACCTGAAAACAAACATTTTATTGCAGAGCCGTGATAAGCAAACTGGAGCTGGGAATAAGGACCAAGGACCCCACACAAATTTAACTAATCTGGCAAGAACGTAACGAATTGCGTATACAAATCCCGACTAGCGAGTTTCCAAGTGATTAATTCCGGCAACAAAACAACAGGGCTTGAGCCAATTACGAGCCAGCGATAAGGCGGAATCGAAACGGAGCACCGCCAGATGCCGCCATGAGTTTCCTCAGCTCCATGCAGCAGTATGTCACGAGTGGCATCTCCAGTTTGGGCCTCGGCAACCGCCGATTCTCCCTCTCCCGCCAGGAGTCTACCGAACAACAATCTGGCTCTTCCACCAGCGGCCCTGCTTCCTCCATACAGCAACAGCAACAGTCGGGGTTTCCGCAGCAACATCCGCAAGTATTACAGACGCAGCTGTCGCAGCAACAGTTGCTGCATCAGCAGCAGCAAGTATCGAACGTCCATGCACCCTTGCAGCAACAGGCGAGCATTGGCAGCGGCCTAGGCGTTTATGGGGCGCCCGCCGCACCCACTGGAGGCGTGGCAGCGGCAGCTACCGGCAGTAATTATCCTTCAGGTGGCGTGGTAATCGGCAATCCGAATGCCACCAATCCATTACTGGGTAAGTTCTATTATGGATCTGATGGAGGTACGAGGCACACTGAGAGAAATATATCATCTATATATAAATGATATATAAAAATATAAAAATATATCATGTATGATATATTTATATAGTATATCATCCTACACTACACCATATTAGAATATTAACCTAAACTAGAGCTGTAAATTCTTTAAAATATATACCCCAGTGACTTTTAACCCATATCTGATAAACGCCTAGACAAAGGTTAGTACCTTGTATGCCAGGGGAGGGTTGTCATTAATCCCAAAAGAGCCTTGGCCCTAATTTAGCTGCTAATGGTGTTTTCCATGTGGTATTTATTACATCCAGCCCCTTTGGACTTCTGGAGCAAACATGAAAAAATAGAGTGCGTAAATAAATGCGGGAATCATCATTAAATTTACTTTTACTTTGACTTTCACTTGCCGCCAGCTATGACTAGGCCAAAAGCGATTTGTTTGTGTTCGTGTGCGTGCCACAAAAATGGTAAACATGGGCAAAAAGTTTATTGAATCCTTCGCCAGACGTTATCGTCATCGGGTCTCAATATGAAAATTACATTACATGTCTTGCCAGCCACCAAATGCGACCAAAACTTTGGCATTCTCCACTCGCATATGGTTAAGCAAATGGTGGTGCACACCAACAGCGAGGGAGTGGATGGGTATTTGGTCCTGATCCTGATGGTGGTGGAGCGAAAGCAATCAACATGCATATGTGACTTCTTCTGGGGCTTCGCTTCCGCTTTAGAATGCAAAACTTGTTTGCCGAGCTAAACGATGTTCTAGCTTGTTGTTTTCAGCTCTCCTCTAGTTGGCAAAAGCAAACATATTTAAATGTCAAGGCAGCAACAGCAACAGTGGTGTGGGTACATGCATATATCCTGCCACAGAAACCGCCAAAGTCCTTCGACATTGGCTGGGATTTGTGATTCACCACCGACTCGTAGCCGGCATTTGAATCAAACTCGAAATTGGCTTATCTTGTGCAGCAGCCGAAGCTGCGGGAGACTTTTCTCCGGAAAAACTATCAACGTGTCAGCGTTTTTCGTTTTTCCATATGTTGGGCCGTGACAGTGTTGTGAGGGTCGTGGGGTCTCTTGCTGCGCCCAACTTTGACTATCCTGGTTTCTGCATTTTCGGTGTATACGCTTTTTTATTCGACTTCTTGGGAGAGGAACAGGAGAAAGAACCCCATTCTCTGGGAAGCCCCAACCCCGAAATCCCGCTTGAAAGGCACTCAGTGAGGCTTCCTTTCTGACAAATTTTTGGGGCCCTTGGGAAGACCAGGTCCTGTTGCAGGCGCCACAGGAGCCACACAGATGCATGTCAAGGTTACCGGTTGCGGTTGCATTGCCTTTGCCTTGAACATGGACCACTGCACCACATTTCTGCACACTGACTTTGACTGTGCTGGTTTCCACTTTACTTCTCGTGGCTCCTTCCTTCCTCTGGATTTTCCGCAAATTTGCATAGAAGTTTCGGTGACACAGAAAGGACGTTTTTACTTTAAATGTTTGAAATAATTAGTCTTTGGAGATATGGGGAAACATATTTAAGCTTTTTTATGCATATCCTTTCAGAAATGAAAACTATTTAATATATTTAACGCTTAAAATCTACGACCCCTGTTATACAGTTTTCCACGGATTATATTTAAAGTTTAACCCCTATGTCTTCCCCCACAGGTTACCCGAAAATACCGGGTGGCAATCCCGTCACCGTCGGCGGCAGTCCGACTACTTCCGGTTCCGGCGGAGGTGGAGGCGGCACGCCCCAATCCCGCCGCCAGTCGAGGGCCCTTGAGTGCCTGGCGCCCCCCCGCACCGGATCCTTCAGGCAGCGAAACTCGCCACTGCACCAGCCGGACCCGCCACCCCGCCCCCCGCTGGCTTTCTGCAAGCGCCGGCTGAGCTGGCCAGAGGTTGACCCACGCTCCAATTCAGGGTGAGTCCTTTTGAGTCCCTCTGTACCTGTGTCCCTAATGCATACTTGATGATGTGCGAAGATCTTGCGAATGGATTTCGCAAATTAAATGCCTGTCTGTCGGCCCGTAACTTCAGCGAGAGCGTGTTTGCTGGAGGTAATTAACCCACAAATGGAAATGCTAATATTTTGGCCGAACTTCCTGCGAAATATTTACACACGCACACTTCGAAAGATGGATGTGAAATGCATAAATTAAACAGGCCGCATAATGAGCCTTCGTTGGGGATTTCCAGAGTCCTGCCTTCCAGGCTAAGCCTTAAAACTCACAAACTATGCTCAATAGAAATCCAAAAATAAATTATTTACCAATTAATTAATGTACTTCAATTTCTGTTTTTTTTTTCTATTTGTGTTTGGCAGTGTTTTTTTGGTGTGTTTGTCGTAACAAAACTTTATCGCTCTCGACCTTCATAATTATGTAATTACAAAAGTTTCCACAGTTAGTTCAGAACCGAAAATTCCAAAGAAACTTTTGGCACCCGGTGGGCTGGGTTCGAATGCGGGTAAAAGTTTTTTTTTCCCTTCTTCAGAAGTAACCTTCTTCAGAATAAGACACCTATTCTGAGGCTTGTTTAAAGGTGCTGCCCTACTATGTTGAAGGTAAGGCAAGGCAACGAGAATCTGTTGCAATATCCGTTTCAGCATCTTTTTGGCTCAATGCCAAGGCATAGGTGCTTTGCATAAGGTGGCATCTGCTTAGCGGATCATAGGTTACATTTAATTAGGCCCAAAAATGAGTTTTTGCTCAGGAGATTGGCCAGGATGAGGCGATATATTAAGATACCGATAAGTGTGAAATGCATTTTAAGTGGTTACATATATTAGCAGGTTTAGCAGAATAATTACTCAAAAGTGGTGTTAATTTTTTTTATGAGTTCATTTTATTAGTAGAAAAAACATTCGCCAGCCACCGATTTTTTCGAATACACTTAATTGGACAAAAGGGAATTTTATCATTTTAATTTGAATGTCAAACCGAACATTATTTAGCTCATTAAAGTTCAATTTCATATTTTATGCATTGACTTTTAATTGCGCAAAAATTAGTTTCGTCGCCGCAGCAAAGCAACATAAACAATCAGTGAGCAATAAGTAAAATTCAATTTTTTATAAGTTCTTTTGTTTTAGACTGGCCAAAACATATTTAAAATTAAATTAAATTCACACAAATAAAATCCAATAAAAGTTAGGTCACACGTAATAGGTGTGCCTCGGGGTGTAGTTCACCTTGAATTAAACGAAATGGAGAGAATTTTTTTTTGCCCAAAAATTGTTTACCTCAAAGTTAAATATAAAATAAATATTTGCAACAAAATAAATACAAAAAGAAATACTGAAAAGTTCTGGGAAAACTTTTTGTTGAAGCCGAAGAAAAATGACAGGAGAACTTAAAAAATCTTAAAAATTGAAACCGAAATTGAGTGTCTCTCGGAGCGACAAAATCACAAAGCAAAAAGGCGAGAAAGAAAAGAACTAAAAAAATAATGGCAAAAAAAACAGTAAAAAGCAAGGCAAACATCTGGGCCAAAAGTTTGAAATTAAATTTTTCGCAAACAACTTTCAAGCCGGGGCAACTTTCACATCAAACAATGCAGTTAGTGCCCCGTCCCCACTTGTGCTACCCTATCATTTACGGCAATTACGTTGACCATTTTCACACGCCTGCTGCTCACACACACAAATACAGAAACAGACGCAAGGAAAGGTGTCCTTTTTCCAAAAGTGTTGCCTATATTACTGGGTGTCGACAGAAGTGTTGCCTACTTTTTGTAGCTCGGTTCAGTTTCTTTTTTTGTGTGTGTGTGCCCTATAAACGTAAACGTGTTAACGTAAAAAATCATCAGCGCTCGGCGACAAAGTTAAGCCGCTTAGCTGTTTCCTCTTCTGCTGAGTGCACGAAGTTTTGGCCAACTTTTTTTTCTCGCCACAGCTGCTAGAATAAGCCCTGCGAATCCTGTTGTGGGACTGTCTGGGTGAGCCATGCAAATCAAATGATTAGGCAGAGCACCATCAACTATCCTAGTTAGGGCCCAAAAATACACACACACAAGATACAAAGTTTCAATCAAATATGCAAACTGAAATATTTGTATACAATTAGCGGATCAGGACCGAGTCTTTTGAACATCAGGCATACGGAGAGTGGTCCTGGTTCTGGGCTAAGTCCCAGTCCAAGTCCCAGGCAACAGGCAACCCTTATCAAAGTTGAAATAGGTACGACAATGTCACATTTTTATGTAGGCAGCGGCCATATTGACAGGGCCAATTAAAGTCAGACACCGAACTGACAGCGGCAGGAGTCAATTTGAATATTCTTTGATATTGAATCGAGAATCCCTACAAAGTGTTTCCCAACCCCGTTCTATCAGACACACACACATGTGTTCATCTAACCCTACTTTATTTGGTTGCCAGGTACTTGAAAAAAATAGGGCGTAACAACTGTTTCCAATAAATGATAGTAACTTTTCACCATTTATAAAAAACTCTATAATGAATCCTTACAACTTGAACATTTTAATTAAAATATGAAATTTTTTCAATTTAATGTTAAAATATTTTATTTTTTATTTTATTTTTGTTCTCTGTACAGAGTTCAGGAAACGGATGGCTCGTATTTTGAGAATTTTACATCGCTCGGCTGGAAACGTGAAAATCGTCGCATGTCGGCCACGCGTGCCGCCGAAGCACGTGCCGAGGCTAATCCCGAGAATGAACGTGATCCGCCGGCTACGGAGGAGTCCATTGACCGCCAGGACGAGAAGGAGAAGCTCTACGTCGAGGTCCTGCACACCATTGCCAATACGGTGGGAGCACCTGCACCCGGCGGACAGGTAAATCAATATATCCTCCCACATACATAATAACCTATGTATCCAGGGACAAAAGTTGAATGAAATTATGATTTGGGGCTTATGCAAATAGTTTCAAATTATATAAATTAAGGCGATTTGAGGGATACCAGAGATACATACATACATACATCAAGGATATCCAGAGGCGGAGATACCACATGATTGAAAGGCTTAATCGGTGGCATTAGGCTTTGAGACGTTTTGCAATTTGAATGATTAATGCCAAGACTCGGGCACGGACCCTGGGGCAAGAAAACAAGGTCTCAGAAGAAAAAGAAAAATTTTCTTTCATTTGGCAGAGTAAGTTTGAAGTTTCTGTCGAGGGCAGAAATTCAATTAAAAATGTGCTACTTTTTGCCTCCCGCTCCGCTTTATTTCTTATTGCCACTTTTAAAGGAATGCCATTTCCAATATATATATCCTGGGCCGGCTTCACACAGCAGTTCATTTTTCAATTATCGTTTTTAATTTAAGAGTAAGAAAATGGTTAGATGCCCAATGCCCGACTAATGAAACTCGAGTAGGTCCTGTGGGGCTGCTGGAAGGAGGTACTGCGACCGTGCTAGGGAGAGGGATGAAATATGAAAGGATGGAGTGTAGCAAGTTTGCGCCAGCATAATAAAAGTTTGAACTAGTAGCGGAAAATAGCATCCTTGCTGGAGTCCTGCTGTGATTGAGTTGAAACTGGTCAAATCTCGCGGGTGCCCGTAAAGCGAATAAAGTAATGGGAAAACGAGAAACTGGGGAAAAGGATTAAGAAAAGAGAAAGAGAGAAAGTCGTTGCCAAGCTAGTTGGTGGTCTCTGCGAAGAGCTTGCTCCTCGAGCAGGTTGGCCACTTTTGCATTTAATCGTAAATAATTACAAAAAAATGCGATTTTCCCACCCAGAAACCTTTCCTAATGGATATTAATGCAAAGAAATATATAAAATAAAATTAATAAGGAGGTAGAACTGGGAAGAAAAACTTGCAACCGACAGCTGCTTGAAGGTTACTTATTATAAGGCCATAATCTGGCCAAGAGGTTTTCATTAAAATGGGGGAAAACCGAGCTGAGATGCCTTCAAATGTAACTGGGGTTACTTTCAATTAAAATATACAAGGTAACAGGAAAAAACGTAGATAGGTACTTTTTTTCCGTCTTAAAAATTTATTAATAGGAATATTAAAGTTTCCTTCTTCTTTTCCTTTCCGTCATAAAAATGTATAAATAGGAATATTAAAGTTTCCTTCTTCCGCATTTTCAATCAATGCCTTTCCTCTGCCCAAAATAAATCTATGTAATTAGATTTGCAAAATAATTCGGATCTACGAATTCCACATTTTCCACGAAAATGTAATCAAGTTTATTTTTAATTTGAGCTGCAGCAAAGGCAATCAAATTATAATATCCTTGAAGTAGTCGGGAACGCGATGAAAGCGTTTCTCGAAGCGTGATAAGAAATCAAAAGTCGACAGGCTAATAAATTCCAGAAAAAGATAAATCAATATAAGGGAGGAGAGGAAAGATAATATGTGATGGAAAAGTAAACAAAAAATATGCAAATTTATCAATATTAATGACTTTAAAATATTTACAAATATGAAAATATAATTTAATTAATTTTGTTAAAATATTTACATTTTTTCTTTTGGCATCCCCACGTAATCTGGAATACTGAAATACTGCGATTCAAATCTGGCTGCACAGTTCGCCCATTACAAGGACGAAATGTATCTGCACGCCCAGCGCGCCTTCGGTGTCAATCCGGATCGTCATTATCGACTCCTGCACGCCTCCGCCGAGGATAAACCAAAGATAATCGTCCTCTCTGCGGTGGTAATCGAAGCTGATGGCCTCGAGGCAAAGGATGCCAATGGTAAGCGCCCCAGGATTCCTGGATCTCACAGCCTGGATTTCACATCCCCCCACACATTAGACTTTTCACTTCGCCACTCTGCCCCCTCCGATGTATCAATCTCCTTCCTTCATGTGTGTGCATCTGATGTGTAAATATTTTTAGTTTGTAAATTGATTTTGCGGCTTCTGCGGCAATTGCATTATGAGACCTGTTCCAGAGTTCCATGCCTTGACTATTTTGCAGCTTAATAATACTATTTTAAGCACATTTTTTGGTTTGACTTGGATTGTTGTTGTCCTGGTTTCAGGTCCAAACAAAAGTTACTGTCTTGCTTATGCTTTCACCCCGACTCCTCTCTTCGTGTGGGTTCAATAAATTTGCAATTTAATGCTTCCCATTTTGTTTATTAAGTTGAAGAGAGCAGAAGTTTCACAAACAAAAATAGGGGCACTGCAAAAAAATCTATGTTAGCTTCAAGGTAGGGGTTTTGCAATACACAGTCGCATCCAACTAACGTATCATTATCCTGAATTTAAATATTATTTATTTATTAAGCATAAATCTTTATTTTAATCATGTTGCATACTTTTCCTCAGTGTAAAAGCGGGAGCTGCCTCATCGAAGGCAACGCAATTTCGCATTTTAATGTGCTCAAGGATGTGTAAGGAATACGTTGAGTGCTCCTTCGTCTGCGTCTGCTTCTGTTCGAGTATTTTTCTGTCCCTACTACCCCTGGCTCCTTGCCTCCTTGTCTATCATCCAACCCATACAACATGTCCCTAGCCACTTACCCTCCATTCTGGGCCACAAAGTAGTTCAATGTTAGTGTGCCACGGACTGGCATCTGCTAGGAAAACTGACTACGACTGCCGCCTGGAAAAAGAGGCTGGCACGATTTTTTGGGAGCTGGTTAGTGGGTTTTCAGTGGTCTCGGTCCTGACCGTGGTCCTCGCCTGGCCAGATGGCAAACTAGCAACATTGCCAATGAAAGGTGGCCGATGAGAGGGAGCTTTTGTTGTTTGGCCATTGTCCATTGGCAAATAAGCTGCCAATTCCACTGCCAAAGCGCTTTTCGTTTAGTTCGGTTTAACAGCCAGTAGTGGCTGAATTTTATCCCAGTTTGATAAAGCACGAAAGCCAGCAACCAAATTGGACATTGCAATGCAGACCAGCCCCAAAATTTCAATGAATCAAACGAAGGTCTGAACTGCATCTAATGACTTTTCTCAGAAATCGGTCTTTGCACAGAGCACTTTTATTCAAATTAAATTAATAGCTGTGGAAATTGTATCCAATTTCGAGAGGGATATATCTTCATCTTTGCAGTGGGCCTTTGTGGTTGGTGGCTCTGATAGCTGGGCGCGTAAATCACAGGCACTCAATAATTGAGCAGCACTTTATGCAAATGAAATGTTAATCATACGCAATGTGTGACTGGGAGCAGCTGACGCCTCGTCGTTCCCCGGGGCAGTGCCATTAATTGGCATTTAATGTCATCAGTCGAGCTCCTCATTAATGCCGCTCTGTCCTGTTTGGTCCTTTTTGTCCTTTTTTGGTTATTTGGTCCTGGGGAGAAAATAAATTGTTTATTGCGTTATTTATCGTCTTTATAGGTTTCTCGGATCCGTACTGCATGCTGGGCATCCAGCCGGATGGAGACGCTTGTCCGCCCGTGTCGCCGCTGCCGCTGCCGCCGACGCCACGAGCCCTCTCGGCGGACATGAGTGGAGGCTTCGACAACAGCGCCACGGACTCGCCCCCACACCGCAAGCACAGCTTCCGGCTGAGTTTCAAGCGGCGGGACGGGGGAGCGGGTCGGCGGGAGCAGCGCGACTCACTGGGCGGACCGGTGCCGGCCAAGCTGATCAAGGCGACCTCCATCAAGCCTCACACCCTCACCCCAAAATGGAACGAGAAGTTTAAGTTGTAAGTCATAAATTCTGATCTCAATCACAAGCAAAAAACCTTATTTACGAGTCGTAAGCAATAAATAAAACTCATTTAACTTTAACATGGAGTTGAAACACAACTGCACATGCACATAAATTTTCCACCATAAGAAATGCAATCAGATTTATGTGGCAATTGCAATAAAACTGAATGAGAACAAAAGCAACCAATCAAGAGGAATAGGAAGTACTCTGTATAGTACTGCAAAGGAAGTTATTAAGCATAAGCACTTTATCAGTTCTTAGAAATTCGGTAAAAAGTCCTACATTGAATACATAAAAGCATTATTGATTAATAAGCAATAAGCCAGAACATACTTTTGCGGGAAAAACTCAAATTAATACCTGAAGAGAACGTAGTATCCGTTTTAATTTGAAAGCTGCTACAAACGTGTAATAAATTAAAAGAACCAGCATATGATTACTTTGAAAAATGTTGTAACCACAACCTATCTGAACATCTAAAGATACACAAAATAAAATTTGTATTACATATTAAAATAAAATATTATTACATCATAAATATTTCCACAGCGACATAGATGACATAAATACGGATACCTTTCATCTGGACATTTGGGACCACGACGACGAAAGCTGCGTCATGGACGCTGTGTCGCGACTGAACGAAGTCCGTGGCGTTCGCGGACTGGGACGCTTCTTTAAACAGGTTTGCCAGTCTGCCCGCCAGGGATCCCAGGACGATTTCCTCGGCTCGGTGAACATACCACTTGCCGAGATACCCTCCACCGGCCTGGATGCCTGGTTCAAGTTGGAGGCCCGAAGTCAACGGAGCACCGTACAGGGCAGAATACGACTCAAGCTGTGGCTCTCCACGCGAGAGGATCGAGGCAATGTCGGTGACGAGAACCATGAGATGCAGATCCATAAGATTGAGCAACTCCAGAAGGTCTTTATGCAGCACGAGGTGACCACTCATGAGCCCTCGTGGACCTGGTGCGGAGACCTACCAGGTCCGGCTCTGACCATACTCCATCAATTGGCCGTACAGGCGGATCTCTCGGATTTGCATTGTGCCATGGCAAGGTAAAAGGGGAAAAGTAGAAAATCAAAACTCCATAGCCTTTAATAACTAACCATGTCTTTAATCCTCTTTTATTTTCAGGTATGTGGCTGCTGCAAAGCTGAACCGATCCACTCCTTTGGACCCGAAATTCCTTCACCGGTTGCTTAGCGACGTGGAGAAGCAGTGGAATCTGCCCAACCAGGAGCCCCTGAGTCGGGATCTAGAGCAGTGGCTGGCGGATGCTATGAACGGGTTCGTAGAGCGCTCCCTGAACCAAATACGACGGCACAGGGACATATTTCCGGCTCTGAATCCGCCTTCGCTAATTCGCCTGGAATTTCTTCTCCGTTGCCTGGGTTTGCTCGGATCGATGCGAGCATTCCGGGCCGTGTGCCCTTTCAACAAGGGCGTACGGGGCGAGGTGGTGAATGCTCTGCGCAAAGGGTCAGTGATGTGGGGCCAAGCGGTGCTCCGGGAGTCGCAGAGCTTGCCCAATCCATTATCGAATTTTGTAACGACATTAACGGCCGACATACAGCTGGGACAGACCTACTACCATGCCCTTTTCGACAAGTGAGTATCTTGGTTAGTTACCTTTCGTCGTGCAAATAGCAGATTAAGTATGTCCGACACGTGTGACCCATAAAATCTACTCCGTACTCCACTCCACACTCTATACTTTTAAATGCGAACAAATAAAGTTTTCCGAGCCGTCTTACCAACAAGCAGTGGTTGGCCCCAGGTCCAGATCTTTTATAAGAGAGGTTGGGTCGGCATTGCCATTTCGGCATTGCACTAAGGCGATGACCCAATTGAATTGAATGCCACCCACACAAATGGCGTCATTTCGATCCGAACTTATCCGCAATCGTGCCCGGGGCGGAGCACTTTACAGTCGCCAGCCATCATTCCCTCTAATCAGTTTGAGCATTTGTCAAATGTCCTGCGAGTCAAAGTCATAAAGCTAACGAGCATTAATGAGGGCCACAAATGTTGTCATGAGAGATTACCCCCCAGCGTAGTCCCCAACTGGACTAGTTTTGCCAAGAGGGTGACTTCCGGACAAATGCTTCAACAAGTGGCTATATCCCCCAGGGATACCAAATAAATTATTTTGCAGCAGGATACATTATCTGGAAAACCTAATTAAATAATACAGCTTTAAATGCAAAGTTTGTAGAATCATTTTTCTTCTAAATAACTATTTGAAAGGATATTTAAAAGGAAGAACACCCTTCAGAAAGTCGAACAGGGTGTAATGATAAATCGAAGGCGTTTAACGGATTGGGGATCACGTTCCATCATCAAGAGACAGGACCGGAAGAGCTTCAATAACTATTAATTTATAGGTGCATGGTTGTGCATACTTGGCCGCCATCCCGCAGGACTAATCAGTCACATATTTGCCAGTTAGCGTGGCCGTAAAAAGACCTTAATGAGGACATCAAGTGGCTTACACACATAAGCCCCAAATTAATTGCGCTGTCATAAAAATGCTCTCACGTTGCCCTTCCACTGGCGGCGGGTCCTTAGTTAGAAATCCGGTGGTTGCCAGCCACCTAGCCAGCGCATCCTACTCCTGACAAGGCATTTAGCAAATGTCCAGAGGCTGTCAGGAAAAGTGTTGAGGGTCGGTGAGAGGTCCTGCCAAGTGCTGAAGGCCAGACATTAGCAAAATTTAGTTACAAGTCTAATTGGGGCATTTGTTCCCTTTTAAAGCCAAGGTGGTTCACTTTCAACGGACGTGTTATTTCTTCTGCAGCAGGCCGGACTCAATGCTTTAGTTTTTCATCCATTTATCCACATCCATATCCATTTAGTTAAATCCTCTTTCGTTCTTTCAGTACGAATGGCATTCAGTACTTTAGCATCATCTACAAGCAGTACGACGCCATGGTGGGTGACGAGTTGTACACCAGGATGGCCGCCGGCCAAGTGCCCGGGGTGCGGATGAACCTCTCACAGTACGCCGTGCTCGAGGGTGATGCCGAGCCGGTGGACACAAAGCCCTTTGAACTGTTTCTTGCCCTACAGGAGTTCTGCCAGCTGAAACGGCACCTCTCCGCCCAGCCGCAGCCCCCTGAAAAGCCTCTGGCTCTGAGCAACAGCCACGAATGGTTCATACCCACCCTAGAACGCTGGATGATGGTCAGTAAGGCGAAGGCGCTGCAGAGGATTCGGGCAGCCATACGTATGGACGCCATATGCGAGGGCGAACGGATAGTGCGGTACAGTAGCTCCTCCGTGGACACGGCCAGCACCCTGTTGAACATTAAGGAGTTCTGGAAGGTTATGAACTGGCCTGACGAGGACACAGCAATCATGCTGGAGTCGCAGCTGATCGACGTGGTCTGCTCGGCGGCAATGCACTACTGCGACCTGATCCACACTGCCCTGGCGGACAGTGGCTATTACGAGCAGCAAGGTCCCTTCCGCTGCTCCGATGACATGTGCGTCACTGTTAACAATGTGGAGTACGTGCGTCGCACCTTGGCGGAGTTCCGCTCCGACGAGCAGCCCCTCGAGGAGTCCGCCGACAATCTGCTAGAGTCCAGTCTCACCCACATGGAAAACCGCTGCGAGCGCATACTCTCCAAGCTGGCACCTCTCATGCAGATGTCGCTACAGAAGGCTATGTTTCATTTGGCCTGGTCCCCGGATTCCCTACCCGCCAATCAGGCCATAGTTCCCCTGCTGGAGTACCTGGATTGTCACTTGGCCGCTCTCAACAGTGCCATGCTTACCAAGAACTTTAATAGGTCGCTACGCTTCATCTGGAAAACCGTGCTGGGTGAGATGTCGCGGCAAATGGAGACCGGCGACGAGACGGACAAGCCCACACACTTTCATAAGAGGCTATATGAGGCTCTTCAGCTACTAGTGGACTTCTTTCACGCCGAGGGCCAGGGCCTGCTTCTAGAGTGCCTCCACACAGAGGACTTCTGGCGCATCGAGCAGCGTCTGCAGTTCCACAAAACGGACACTGACCGGCTCATCGACATGTTTTACATGCAGCGCCTTCGGGAGCAGATGATGGCCGTTAGTCCGGGACCCTACGGATCGCTGGCTGTGCGGGCCTACTTCAATCACGATTCGCTCTGTGTGGAGGTTCTCCACGCCAGGGATGTGGTGCCCCTGGATCCAAATGGTTTCAGTGATCCATTTGTAGTCATAGAACTGCTTCCCAGAAGGATTTTTCTGCACTGCATGGAGCAGCAAACAAATGTGCACAAGGTAGGTTAAAACTTAATCGCCATAATCAGAACATTTCAAAGGATATGTTTCTATGAGGAAACTAATAGTCATATTATCAAATGTTATCTCCCCTTAGCGCACTTTGCATCCCATATTCGATGAATGCTTTGAGTTTTCCGTGACCTTGGAGCAGTGTCTTACCGAAGGTGCCATGATCTGCTTCACGGTGATGGATCACGATGTGCTGACGGCTAATGACTTTGGTGGGGAAGCCTTCCTGGCCCTGGGAAACATACCCGGAGTGGCTGACTACAGCACCAGTGTAGATAATTTCCACGGGCTGAAGCAGATCGAGCTGCCCCTCATGCAGCAGTTGGATAAAAGTGAGTACAATAATATCAAGTATCTAGGCTCCTCCGCTATGCAATGTTTTGTGATTTCTTCCAAAGACAATCCCATTTTGCAAATCCTCGAGGTCCGAATCAACGACAAGCAGGCCCAGGACTTTGTGCGCAAACAGAAGGCGCGTCTTATCAATTGATTTTTAAAAGGATTTACATATAATCCCGAACATGCATGAAAGGAAGAAAAAGGAACCGTTTGTAAAACGTTTTGGATGGGATCGAGCAATGTAATTGCATCGACATGACTTGATAAATTTACCAAAAGATAAATGTTGTATCCTAAAACAAGCATTGTATGTATTGTACTTAATCTAACTGTTTAAAAAAGACTCTGTTCAGTTTGTAAATTTTAGCGAAATCGAAATTCAAATGGTGCAAAAAAGTGACAAGTAACGACAAAAATTGGACTCTTAAACACTTAAAGTTGCTTGAACCGAATTACGGATACATTTTAGGGATTTATTAGAAGCCTAGCATTGCTGAAATTGTCACAATTGGGCAATCAAAGTCGTTTAAAACCGAAATTAGCCATCAAAATCACATAAGACAAAACACGAACAAAAAACTCAAGCTACCTAACAGATGCGTTTTGAAGACTTTTACAAGAAACACTCATCCTGGGATTAACACATCTCGGACATACACAAAACACATTTTTTGGGTCAATTTAAGAATATATATATTGAAAAATATGAAAGTGTATATCTAAAGCACCTTTTTTACTACAGCCAAAAAACAATCAAAATCTTGCGAAACTCCGAGCTTCTTTGACAAAATCCCGCAGAAAATACGAGACACTGACAACCAAACATAATCACATCCAGACATGCAGATTATTGCTATTTACAATATGAGATATATAGAATATATATGTGTACAATTTATATCACGCCCAAAGGACAGTGTAACTAAGTCTAAAGTATATTTGTAAACTATTTTCTGAGCACAGATTTTGTATAAATTTATTAGACACGCGCTTGTCCCCCCAGAGAGGCAGCCTTCGGATCTTTCGCTTATACACGACTTAGGGCTTTACCCCACGTCTTAGCCTCTGACACCCCTCCCTTAACCACTTTTGTTCGAACTTTCGTTAGTTTCTTTCCCAACCCACAAGAAGGTCTTGCTTCTAATGTAAATTTTGTACTATATACAATGGTCTCTTTAATGAAGGAGCTCCAACCGACTATATTCATGCAGATAGATGTGTATATTATGAATAATGAAATGAATTGTTGGAACTCAAACTCTTAATTGTAAACTTTAGCAGAAATCAACTTTTTATACCTTTCATGACGTGGCTGAAATCGATTTTTAGAAAGCGGAAACTAACTACCAAGAAATGCACAACAAAAGCAAGTAACTCCAAGTCAAATTACAACTATTTTTAAAATTTACACTCGACGCAAACTTTCATGATTGTTAATTACGATTACAGAATGGAGTATTATGCAAATAAGAATATACAATTAAAATATACAAATACTTATGTGGATAAAAATAATTAATTGGTAACCAAACGAGCATTTAGTTTGTAAGTTAAAGCATTTTGCTTCCGAATCTTTGCACAGCCTTTTTTTCCAAAACGAGTCTAAAAATCTATACTTTTTAAATTTAGTTTTGCTTCTAGTCTTTTAGTTCAAAGGTTTGATTTGGTTTAGTTAATCTTTAACTTCGTTAGTCTGCCATCGCCAAGACATCGACAATGAGTCAGCGGCAATCCTGGCCGCAAAACTAGCGACAAACATCGAAGTAGTTTATAACTTCCAAATATTTCTTCACCACTCTGAGTATCTTCCATTGGCACTTGCTATTAATTTTGTTTACAGTCTACTTCTAAAAATTTGTCAGCTGTCAACTGCTATCTTCCAGACCTACTATTGTGCAGCAAAAAAACAAGCAACAAAAAAAAAGGTTAAATAATTAAAATACAAATATATATATAGACAAGAAAGCAGATATGTGTACCTTTGATAATTTCTCACGTCGAATAAATATATTGAAAGACACAAACAAAACAGGCATGAAGGATGCAAGGATAAACAAAATCAAATTAAATTATTCATGTTACTGGCACTAGCTTAAAAATATATATGAAGCAATCTGAGTAGGGTAAACAACTTAAAATAAATTACAAAAACACAAATAATACAAATCTGATACGGAATGCGAAAATTGGCCAAACAAAGAGACCAAACGTATTTCTCAACCACAACATATACAAATACCTACTGAACAAAACTGAAAAACTGTTGAAAAACAAGGCCAAAAAAGACGCATAAACCTATGCCGATACCTATATAATATACGAGAATATATACATATTTGTGTGTACAATTGTTGTGCTAGTTACAGAACACAGAATGCGGAATACAAACAGAAACTACAAAGGGCCCTCCTACATATACACAATGGAAAACCCAATAAAACTACAATGCTTTTAATTGTAGCAACAGAAGGAGAGCTATAAGCGGCAACTTTTTTCGATTATCTTTAGTTTCCGAACCCATCAACAAAAAAAAAAGTTAACCAAATATTTATAAGCTCTATTGCGTGTTTTTCCTATAAAATCTAGTTTAGAACTACGAACGCATACACTCTACCGCCGAAAATTAATAAAAATAGTTTAGAACTACGAACGCATACACTCTACCGCCGAAAATTAATAAAAATAGTATATCTTGATGGAAACTCAGAAGCAAAACCAAAGAATATAGTTTTTTAATGTACGTATTTATGATGTATACCAACGGGCCATACAATTCAGGTTCCTAGAATCCCCTCCATAAACAGGATATCAGTGTAGCCGAGACCGCCAACTTCTGTACATAGATTGTGTACATTGTGTAACCTATTTACATAGATTGTGTGTTTGCATGGGTTAATATGAAATCAAAACTAAAAACAGTAACCTAACTGAAACTATAACAAGCAACAATCCCAACTAAAGCATATTCTATGTTAATTCAACAAAAGCTGCAGAAACATTATCAAATTCAATCAATAAATGTCAATGAATAATTAAGATTTAAAAGATTTATTATTTATATACATATATGTACATACAATGGGTTTTTATTAAGGTAAGTAATAGTACTGCAGGGTTTCTTAAATTAAATGTATTTTCTAGGTTACTTCTAATTTCTTTCTCTGAATGAGCTAGAATTTATCCCGCTGACAGGCTCGCTGTCAATTCTGGGCCGGAACTTGGCAAGAAAATATATTGTCCTTTCGCTGACAGGGCTTGCCGCCGAAGGGAAAGTGTTTGCGGAATTGATTTGAGGCATTATCTGGCGCACGTCAAAGGTCTGGAGCAGTACAGTGTGTGTGCTATACAGCGGAAAGTGTGGAAAAGCTTTTATCTAAATTAAATCCTGACATATCCGAGACTTTTCCTTTTCGCATGACGTACAAACGACTGGCCCTGTTTAAAGCCAATGGACAGATGTCTTGTTCAAGCGACCCCTTGGGACACGACTCCGTGTAAATACCATTTTATTTTGAGACACATCCTAAAACTTGTTCACGACCCGCAGTTGAAAAATCTGTGCAGTTTTATGCAACTTTTATGACTCCATCCAAAGACACAGAGCTCAGAACCATGACTCGGACAAAAAAAAAATTGTATGACTTGCAGTGCCTAAAATCTTGTAGAACAAACATCAGACGTTTCTCGGCTATGCGTCTGAAGCGTAAAGTAAACCAGTATGTTCCATTCTGATAAGACTGAGACAAGTTCCACAGACAAAAAAAAATGAAATTAAAGGAGCCAACTTCTGGCACAGTCAAAGCTTATACTGCAAATTCTTTGATTTTTCTCCATTTTTCGTGATGGGTTCCCCGAAAATGGGGTTTTCGCCTATAGGGTCCACGGTGATGGCTATATCTTGCCCAATTCTCATCCGATTCTCAAGCGGAGTACCCTAAACGATTTCTGGATTGATTCGCCACCATTCTGCATCAAACTCCTGAGAGAAAATATTTTTCAGATTTTTCGTCCATTTTTCCTGATGGGTTCCCCGAAAATGGGGTTTTCGCCTATAGGGTCCACGGTGATGGCTATATCTTGCCCAATTCTCATCCGATTCTCAAGCGGAGTACCTTAAACGATTTCTGGATCGATTCGCCACCATTCTGCATCAAAATCCCGAGACAAAATATTTTTCAGATTTTTCGTCCATTTTTGCTGAAAATGGGGTTTTCGCCTATAGGGTCCACGGTGATGGCTATATCTTGCCCAATTCTCATCCGATTCTCAAGCGGAGTACCTTAAACGATTTCTGGATCGATTCTCCACCATTCTGCATCAAAATCCTGAGACAAAATATTTTTTGGATTTTTTGTCCATTTTTCCTGATGGGTTCCCCGAAAATGGCGTTTTCGCCTATAGGGTCCACGGTGATGGCTATATCTTGCCCAATTCTCATTCGATTCTCAAGCGGAGTACCTTAAACGATTTCTGGATTGATTCGCCACCATTCTGCATCAAACTCCTGAGAGAAAATATTTTTCAGATTTTTCGTCCATTTTTCCTGATGGGTTCCCCGAAAATGGGGTTTTCGCCTATAGGGTCCACGGTGATGGCTATATCTTGCCCAATTCTCATCCGATTCTCAAGCGGAGTACCTTAAACGATTTCTGGATCGATTCTCCACCATTCTGCATCAAAATCCTGAGACAAAATATTTTTTGGATTTTTTGTTTATTTTTGGTGACGGGTTCCCCGAAAATTGGCTTTTCGCCTATAGGGTCCACGGTGATGGCTATATCTTGCCCAATTCTCATCCGATTCTCAAGCGGAGTACCTTAAACGATTTCTGGATTGATTCGCCACCATTCTGCATCAAACTCCTGAGAGAAAATATTTTTCAGATTTTTCGTCCATTTTTCCTGATGGGTTCCCCGAAAATGGGGTTTTCGCCTATAGGGTCCACGGTGATGGCTATATCTTGCCCAATTCTCATCCGATTCTCAAGCGGAGTACCTTAAACGATTTCTGGATCGATTCGCCACCATTCTGCATCAAAATCCCGAGACAAAATATTTTTCAGATTTTTCGTCCATTTTTGCTGATGGGTTCCCCGAAAATGGGGTTTTCGCCTATAGGGTCCACGGTGATGGCTATATCTTGCCCAATTCTCATCCGATTCTCAAGCGGAGTACCTTAAACGATTTCTGGATCGATTTTCCACCATTCTGCATCAAAATCCTGAGACAAAATATTTTTTGGATTTTTTGTCTATTTTTGGTGACGGGTTCCCCGAAAATTGGCTTTTTGCCTATAGGGTCCACGGTGATGGCTATATCTTGCCCAATTCTCATCCGATTCTCAAGCGGAGTACCTTAAACGATTTCTGGATCGATTCGCCACCATTCTGCATAAAAATCCTGAGACAAAATATTTTTCAGATTTTTCGTCCGCCACCATTCTGCATCAAACTCCTGAGAGAAAATATTTTTCAGATTTTTCGTCCATTTTTCCTGATGGGTTCCCCGAAAATGGGGTTTTCGCCTATAGGGTCCACGGTGATGGCTATATCTTGCCCAATTCTCATCCGATTCTCAAGCGGAGTACCCTAAACGATTTCTGGATTGATTCGCCACCATTCTGCATCAAACGAGACAAAATATTTTTCAGATTTTTCGTCCATTTTTCCTGATGGGTTCCCCGAAAATGGGGTTTTCGCCTATAGGTCCCACGGTGATGGCTATATCTTGCCAATTCTCATCCGATTCTCAAGCGGAGTACCTTAAACGATTTCTGGATCGATTCGCCACCATTCTGCATCAAAATCCTGAGACAAAATATTTTTTGGATTTTTTGTCTATTTTTGGTGACGGGTTCCCCGAAAATGGGGTTTTCGCCTATAGGGTCCACGGTGATGGCTATATCTTGCCTAATTCTCATCCGATTCTCAAGCGGAGTACCTTAAACGATTTCTGGATTGATTCGCCACCATTCTGCATCAAACTCCTGAGAGAAAATATTTTTCAGATTTTTCGTCCATTTTTCCTGATGGGTTCCCCGAAAATGGGGTTTTCGCCTATAGGGTCCACGGTGATGGCTATATCTTGCCCAATTCTCATCCGATTCTCAAGCGGAGTACCTTAAACGATTTCTGGATTGATTCGCCACCATTCTGCATCAAACTCCTGAGACAAAATATTTTTCAGATTTTTCGTCCATTT